CGATTAGTGGCCGTGGCCGTGGCCAAATCAAAGCGGAGGCGACACTGCAATTGTTGCCCCTTGTGCGGCCCTTGGCTGGCATTGATGGATTGCCTCATAAATTTGTGATTTGCTAAGCTTGATTTTCCATTTCACAAACTTAATTTATATGAATATTTATATGCATATATTGCATGTTTGGATGTGGTATATAGAGTAACATACATACATACATACATATGTATGTGTGTATGTATAAATGTCTGCCATATGTCAGCTGGGCAGCAATGGGCGCCGTGTGAAAGTATTGGGTGCATTGTCCTAGGTCATTCCGACATTAAAACATTTGCATAAGTTAAATACTGAGGTATATACATTGATATGTATGTATATATGTATGTATTGCATATATGTACGTACAATACGTACGTACGTACGTAAAATACACACAAAGATAATTTGCTTAAAGTAAAATAAAATAGAAAAAAAAAAAAAGGGAAACAAATACTTAATTTAATTAACATTTTATAAGCCAACTTCCACAACTCTTTCAACGTCAGCCGCTCAATCGGGGCTTTGTCCTGCTTAAAGCAGCTTTAGATCTCTTATCTTCCAGGCAGCTTTTTAGCGCTTCGCTTCCAATTCCAATTTTCCAATTCACAGCTCGACGCCTTCAATGAAAACGAAAAAAGAAGCAAAAGATGAGGCGAAAAGAATATAAATAAACGGAAGTCAGTTGCTTAGTGCAAACACTAATAATATTAATAACGATAATCGTGATGAAAATGAATCTGCCAATCCGATTTCAGGTCATAAATACGTAACGTAACGTCAGGCCCATTGATTGCTATCTGCCGCATAATCATAAGTGCAACAGAGACAACAAATGCACACTGAATTGCCGGTAGTGTGTGTGTGTGCGTGTGTGTGTGTGTATGTGCGTGCATTCCAGTGGCGGGCCACGCGTCGCCAGTTGCTTATCTCGGGTGACCAGCACGCCACGTGCAATTGCCAATTCCAATTCCAATCCCATTCATGAACCATAGTTTTTGGCACGTATGTGAGCGTGTGTATGTGTGTCTGTGTGTTGGGCAGCGGGTAACGGGTAAACGGGTGAGGGTACCAACAAATTTGCGTGCAATCGTTAGGCTTGCGTTTTTAATGACTTTTTCGTTTCAGTTCTGTTGGCATTGCATTTAATTCGATTATGATCCCTTCTCCTTCTCCCTGCCCATTCCCGTTCGTCCGTTCCAGTCAGCTCTGCAGCTGGGGTAGCTGTAAAGTAATTGAAACGAAGCCGTAAGTGGAGCGCTGTGTGCATTTCCCAGGCGAACGCGTGTGTGTGTGTGTGTGTGTGTGTGTGTGTGCGTCCAAGTACAACTAATGTGGGTGTTAACGGTGTGTTAAGTGATTTTGCCATTTGTAAAATCGAACAATTGCAAAAGCCGCTGCGATAACTATCACATTCGCAGTTGCTGCCGCTGTCGATGTCGATGTCAGCGCACGTTTTTCCCATATTTCAAATGCTCAAAGTTAAAACTCTTGATATCCGTTTTAAAATTGTTTCACTGCGCGCGTGTGCGTATGCGTGTGCGTGCGTGAGCATTTCAAAAGTATCGACTTACGTTTTCTTTTACGTCGTTTTTTAGCTGATGCTGCCTGTGAACAGCTGGCAACGCTAAATCGGAATTAATATTTAAAAATAACTGTGTTATGTATTCAAAGAGCAACGGCTCTTATATCTTAATTTGAGAGTGCAAGTATATATGTATGTATATATGTATATTTATGTATATAAGTTAGCCATTTATTATGTGCTTTATCCCCTGTCAGTTGGTCCTTGGCCGGTTTTGGCTAATGAAAACTAAAAACTTCAATTACCAAAAGCAAAATAATGCGTTTTTAAACCCAAAAATGTAAGAACTGTAACTGTAGCAAGAAATTGTGATAGATGAGGGTATATGGGAATGCTTTTTACGGACCACTTGTTTGTCCCAGGGCTGCTTATAAACAAAGAGTTAACCGAAAAGGACAATGCTCCAAAGAAAATGCCCATAAATCAGTGTAAGCAACGCACACATACACACACGCACACGCAAATAGTAAAGTAATGCAAAGCTAAAGTAAGAGAATGAAAGGGTTTCGATTGTTGTGTTGGACTTTCCATGAAATTTCCCAATGGGGTGATTATTTAAAATTGTGCAGCACATAAATAGCATACCAAACGAAGGCAGCGGGGCAGCATCTGTATAATAAAAACATTTGTATATGTGTTGTGCGTATATTTCTGATATAATTGTTGCCAAACTTTTTTTTTATAATCAAAGTTTTTGTGTAAGCACAAACCAAACTGCGCGCGCTTCGCTTATGCGATATTTGCAAACGATATTCAGTTGCTATCGATATGCGATCGCTAATTGCGAAATCAAGGCAACTTAATATCATCGATATATATTAACAACTGTTGCGCATATCTAAGCGAGAAATGCGCGGCAGCATTGAACATCTAATTGGATTTATATTGCCAAAAACAACAGTTGCTTCTGCTGCTGCTTCCAACGATGGCCACCGATGTGCAAAACACAGATTCTAAGGATACGCTGACTCAGCTGCTCGAAATGGGCTACGCAGAGATCGAGGCACGACAGGCGCTGGCGCATGCCTCCAATAATCTGGAGCTGGCCATACAATATCTGGTCGGCGACTACGATGCCGAGCAGACCGATGAGGCGCTGCAGCGACGCACGCGTCGCCGCTGCAAGGAGCTGCGCAGCTGCCTCATGGGTAATCCAGCCATAACCGATTACGCCGTGGCAGCGCTAATGAAGAAGCCGCGCACTGCCGAAGCGTTGCGTGAGCTGGTCGGCACGCACAGCGCGATGTTTTTGGGATCGCTATTGGAGTCATCCTCCGACGAGGAGCAGCCGAATGAGGAGCGCAAGCAGCGAGAATAGCAGATTCAATGAGATAATGTGAGAGGTGGAGAGAAGCTGCCAGATCAGCTGTTAAAACTAGATATTAAAGCGAATTAAACGAAAGCTAAGAAAAAAAAAACTGTTGTTGTTTTTGTTTTCCTTTTGCCTGTGCCTTTGCCTCGGCATTGGTTTTGTTTTTGTTGTGGCGCCGGTCAAGCCACCCTTTGTGCGTGTTTTATTTTCTTCTTTTTCAATTTTTGTTGTTGCTGTTTTGTTTTCTTGCGGTGTTTTGTATTTTGAGCTCTGTCGAGCGCGTCAACCCTTTTAGCCTGATGATTAATGATCGCATTTTTTTGCTTCATTTTATTTTGCTTGCTGCTGTTTTCTACTGATTTCAATTTAGCGCTTCGCATTAGAAATTCTACCCTAACCTGAGACGGTTTATTTGGCTATGTTATGAGTCCTATGGATGCACATAGATACGTACATATACATATATAAATAATATATAAAACTATGAATATACTTTAATTAATAGTTAAAAGCTAATAATTATTATAATTGGCCACTTCAATAAAACCTTCTTTTACATTGCAATTAGCTTAATCTCCCGTTCCTTGTCTAGCCTATGTTAGGGTATTCGAGAGTCGACTTTAGCCTGTTTTGTGCTTAAATTCTCTAGCTACTGTTGAAAAATCCTAATTAATTTTGACTTGCAACCGTTTGCATTGTCAACCGCAGCCACGTAGCCGGCGCTGGTGTCGCCGGCGTCGCTGCCGTTGTCAACGCTTATCGGCCATTTGATCGGCGTTGCGGCGTACCGCAAAATGTGACGGCGACAAAGAGAGAGAGAAAGAGAGAGAGAGAGAGTGAGAGAGCGACAACCCTTGACGCGCGTAGGCGGCGCCCTATCATTTATCACGGGTTGCAAATGCTTCAAAGTGGCTGTAACTGAGCCCCCCACAGCGTTGGCAATTTTAAACTGCACTCACACTCTCAATCGCAGTCGCAGTCGTACTCTCAGTCGCAGTCGCAGTCACAGTCGCGCAGTCGCTCAGTCACAGCTAATAAATTATGTATTGAAATTGGATATCGCGTTCGTTTGACGCACAATGCACCGCAATTAGACGAGTTGAAAGTGAACGTGCGCGCGCGCGCTCTGTCCCACTCTCTTGCTCTCCCGCTCTCTTCCAGTGGGTCCCATGCACGTAACTTGCCGAACTGCGCCTGTGCTTCTTCGTCATCTTGTTGTTGCTGCTTTTTTGGCAGACCTTGTCAACGATCGTTCGTCCCTTTTGTGCGCTCGTTTACATGTGCTTAACAAAGGCAATCAATATGTTGACAACAAGCAGCTATAATAATTGCAATAATAATCAAAAGTATGATGAAAAGAAGTAAGAAAAACGAAGTACTAAGAGAAGTACGCAGCTAGCGCTGCAGTTGCATACAGTGGCTCACAGCTTATTTCAACTAGCTACTAGAAAAAAACAATTCAGTCTTAAAGATGTTAACAACAATAAAAGCAAAATGATAATGATGAAATGAAAATGAAGAAAAAAAAAATAATAATAAAATCAAAATCAAAATAAATAAATAAAAAATATAAATAATAAAAATTAAAAAAAAAAAAAAATTAAATGGGAGCAGCTATAAATTCTAAAATAGAAAATATGTATATTAAAAATATTTAAGTGCAAATTACTTGCCAATTGTCTTAATTTGTAAAAGAGTAGCTCATTTATTTTGTCAATATTTTGAAACATTTGTATATTAATTAAATGCACTTGTGTTTACATTGTTTTTATTAATTAATTTTTTTCTTTAATCAAAATCAATAAAAATATATATTTGCTATGACCATACTTTTGATCAACTACCATTTGGAGTTTATTTTTATTTTTATTTTATTTTTTTATAGATTCGTTTTTATATATTTTATACGATAGATGCTGGCTGTAATTAGCTGTGAGCCACTGTACATGCATGCATGCATACATATGCATGTATATGTATAATTGCAGTGCAATTTTGTATGTACACACACACACACGCACATACATACATTCATATATGCAAATTAATTGGCAAGCTGAGTGAAGAAGCAGCTGAAGAAGTTGCAACCGGCCTTGTCTTTAATTTTTACATTTTAACAAAACTGTCAGCCATTTTGAGTCATTTCGAATGGAGAGAAAAAACTGAAATGAATTGAAATGAATTAGCTTATGACTACGACTACTAAATTGACAGTTAGAAATGTTGGATTACTGTAAAGATTTGGAATTGTGCTCTGGCCGCAGGCGAATTCAACTAGTTCCAGCTGACACATCGAATCTTGGCCACGGCATTTGCCGTCAAACACAAAAATCCCATCGAAATATTCAAGTGGTAAATTTGCATATTTGTGTTTGTAAAGCGTTTCGGTTTCGATTTTTATTTGCACAAGCGCTTAATTGTGTAAAAGGGAAGGCGAACGAAGGCACGGCACGGCACGGCTCAGCTCAGCTCTGGCCAGGCCAGCAGCTGCCGAGCGCTGCCAATTAATAGATGAAAATGGATTTGTGTAAGAAATATGCGTTACCCATTTGCATGCGCAGCAGCAGCAGCAGCAACAACAACAACAACAACAACAACAATACATGCCACTGACAAGCCCCGACCAGAGACAATTAGGCAATTATTTGCGCAAAGGATCAAAACCAAAACAAAAAGCAAAGCCAGCGTCTGTCTGTCTGTGCCCTCTCGCTCACACACACACGCACGCACAATCACACGCACAGTCTCACTCAGTCACTTACACACACGCACACAGTTGGGCTCGCTCTGGGAACGCGCACAGTGTGGCCAAATGTTCAGCAGCTTGGGCTTTCCTTTGTCTCCGCTCTCTCTGTTTTGCGTTTGCTTTTAATTGAACATGAGCAATTAGCGTGCAATTTGTTTCGCTCGCAAAAATGCTAACGGTAATCGCAGCCCCCGCAGCCTCCGCCATTTGTGTGTTCCACGTGTGCCACGTGTTTTCGGGCCGCCCAAAACGCACTTGAGTAGAATTAATTTTAAATGCTGCGCTGCACGCGGCTAAGTGATTATGCCAAGCCAGAGAGGAACCACATCTACCCATACCCATACCCATACCTCTCATACCTCATACCACATATCCATTCCCGTTTCCATTTCCATTCGTTCCCATTCCCATTGGCAGTGCTCGCTCGCTCACTTGCTCGCATGTTTAATTATAATTAAAAAGCCTTGGCTCATCTTCGGCCCTCTCGCTCTGGCCGATGGGCAAATGGTAGCGGCATTTCGCTCGCACATGCTTCAAACATACATTCGCTTACTTCCATAAGCATTAAAATGGTTAATTGAGTGCTTAGTGGCCGGGCCACGACTTCCAGCAGCCGCAGCCGAAGGATCTTGAACTCATCTATCTGCCTTGGCCATTGTCAAAGCGCGCTATGCACTCCATAATATTAATTATTTTAATTGAAATGTTCATTATTTTACATCTAATTTAGCGCTGCTTGCGTGTGCGACCCCCTCGAACCCTGAACCCCGAAACCCGGACCAAAAACAACTCAACTCCAGCTCCATGCTCGGACAGGACGAATCCTGTGCACAATGCTCACATGCTTTTAAGCTTTCACTTTGAGGCCGCCTGTGCACAGTGGGCTACGGCTGATTTGTTTGGCAAATAGATTTAATTTCTTTTCATTGAACATTTGTTTATTTATTTATTTATTTATTTATTTATTTTTATTTTTTTTTTTTTTTTGAAGCTAAGGAAAATAATATTTATGTACAGGGAATATTTTGTATTAATATATTATAATTTGACATTAATTTAATTGATTTATTTTTGTGTATTTTTATTATTTTACATTATTATTATTTTAACAATAAATTTGAAGAAAAAATATTTTTAAATTGATTTTTATTGTATATATATTTAGTTTGAAAAATCTATTAATATAATTTTGATTCTTTCATTAAATTAAATTAAGTTTTATTATTTTTTTTATTATTGAAGATCAGCAGCAAAACTTTAATTTAAATTTAATTTTCAAATAATAAAAAAAAAAAATAATAATAAATAAAAATATTTGTCTATAAATATTTATAAATGTGTGTGCGTTTTTTTTCGCTTTAATTTATTTTTAATTTGAAAAATAAAAGAAATGTACATAAATCTTTTATTATAATTTTTTCAAATTTATATATGTTAATTTAATATTTTACAAAAATTATTTCTCTTTATAATATAATAATAAAAATTTAAAAATATAATACTCCAATCGATTCAACATCAAAGTTATTTGGATTGGCTTTTGCTGCCACTGTGCACACTGGTTGTTGCTTATTTTCAATTTTTTTTATTTTAATTTAATTTAATTTTTTTTTTATTTGGGGTTGCTGCATTTGGCGCGGGGTTTATTATAAATTTTTAATTGGCTTTTTATGTATGAATAATGCTGCTCTTTGCCAGCAGTCGTCCTGTCGAAAGGGATGCATTCCAGGGGGTTGTATCTATGTGTGTGAGTGTGCGTGTGTTTGTATGTCTCTCTCTCTCTCTCTCTCTCTCTGTGTGTGTGTCTTGGGTGCGTGTGCTATGCTTCTTATCCTAAGTAGTTTGAGCCTATTATTTATGCAGCCAATTCATTATGTGGTTGTCCATGGGCCACGTTTTTCATATTTCTATTCTCTAGTCTCTCTGCTTCTGCAACAAATTTGTTATGGACTGCGTAAAAAAGGGGTTAGCGAGCAGGCAGCGGGCCGCATTCCTGTTTAGGTAGCACAACTATTATCTGTGCATGTCAAGTTGCTTGGTTAACCGGCAGAAAAAAAAAAAAAAAAAACGGAGGAAAATCAAATCAAATCAAATCAGAGCGAGGTGCAAAATAATAAATGGCTAAATGCCAGCAACAACAACAAGTTTTGAAACAACCCCCCGTCAAATATAAAAAATTACATTTTTGTCAACTCATTAGAAACGTGACGATGAAAGCAGCGCAAGGTCCTGCTGCTGGTCCATTTAGTGCTTTGAAAAGGGTTTGTCATTTAATTAAAAAAAGAAAAAGAAAAAAAAACAACAACAAAAAAAACGTGATAAAAAAAGAGTAAGAAGGTAAACAGGTAGGTTGGCCACTTTACATAAGAAGCTGGCTGGCTCCACCTACAGCGGTCAGTTTGACAGCTAGTTAACAGTGCGCGCCTACGCACAGGTGTACATTAACAGAGCTCTGTTAAGGCTCTGTCGCGGTGCTACCCTCGTTGGCCGGCACCTGCGATAGGCGGCTGGCTGGCAAAAGCCAACCGCTTGGTGTCCAATGGCAGCGCAGCCCCAAAAGCAACAACGCTCAAATCAAACACACACACAACAACAAAAAAAATAGGTAACGTTACATAAAACAAAAACAAGAAACCCCCAACCACAAAGTATCCGGAGCAGCGGCAAGTATGCGCAAGAGCCAAAACAACCCTCGCAGCAACAGCAGTAGCAGCAGCAGCAACAACAGCAGCGACAGCACCAAATGCCGGTCTCAGCTAGCGAGCAGCAATAGCAGCTGATAAGCCAGTGAGAGCGAGAGAGCGCCAGAGCGCAACCACCTAACGACGACAACAGCAGCAACAGAAACAGCAGCAGCAGCAGCAGCAGCAGCAGCAGCGCAGCAACGCTAGCAGCAAAGCCAGCAACAGCAACATCAGCAACAACAACAGCGCACGTTTTTGCCGCTTTTCGGTTTTCATTCATGCAGCCTCGTCGTCGCATTCGTCAAGTGAACTTCGGCGCTGGCGGTCGTGTGTGCGCGCAGTAGCAGCAGCAGTAGTAAACAGCAACTGAAATTACGTTACGCGAAACTTCAAATTTGGCGAGTGCGAAGCGTATTGTTTATTATCAAGAGGAAAACAAAACAACAAAAAATCATAAATATAACAACAAAAAATTATTTCTTTATTTTTTTTTTTGAAAACAAGATATTTATGCAAGTGCCGACATATGTATTAATATATACATATCTATCTCTGTGTGTGTAAGTGTGCGTGCAACAATATTTAACAACAACAAAGGCAACAACCAGAGAAGCAACAGTCAAGTGTGTGTGTTTGTTTACACCTTCGATCCGCCTCCCCACCAGCCGTTATTTCACTGACTCTCTCTCTTACACTCTATGTGTGTGTGTGTGTGCGTGTGTGTGTGGCGCAATTATTTGAAATATGCAAATTTACGAGCTAACTAATTGAGTCGAGTTGAGTTCAGTTCGCGGTTCGCGTGTGTTTTGTGTTGTTGCAGGTGTCGGGCATTCTCTCGATCTCGTTCACGCTCACTCACTCTCTCTCTCTCTCTGTCTCTCTGGCCGATCTTGGCTCGTTAGAGGCGTCTTCTTATTGCCATCTGTACTAATTCAATCAACGGTAAATCACGCGCTAACAGCTCTCACCCACTCTCTGACACTGTCTCGCGCTCGCTCTCACGTACGCGCTGCCTGTGCAACTCTCCTTATCGCACGTGTGCAAGCAGCAGCAGCAGAAGCAGAAGCAGCAACAGCGGCAGCGGCAGCAATTTTCATGCGTTTAGTACGACTATAAAAATTCGCACTCAATTAGCAGTAGCAGCAGCAACAACTCATAACATAAACAAAACAAAAGAAACGAAAACAATAACAATAATAACTACAATAAATAAAACAAGAAACGCTAGCAAATTCCTGTGTGCAAATTGTACAACAAACCGCGCTAAATAAATATAAGAATTATAAAAAAAGAGAAGGCAAAGAAAAACAAGCCTTGCCGCAAAACCAGAACCAAGCACAAGGAGAATCAAGAACAACAACAACAGCGGCACTAAATACAAGAAAGAAGGCGAAAAAAGCCGATCGCCAGCAATAAAGAGAAAATATCCCCCTTCAGGCAGAGCTCGACGATTGCTCGCAGCAAGAAAAGCAACAATTTTCTGCATATGTAAGTCGAAACTTTTGTGCTGCGATCCTTTTAATTAGTTTACTTTTAGTTTCTGCTGCTGTTGTTTATTTTTGCCATTTGTTTTAATTAACGTCGCCGTCGTCGTCGGCGGCTGCATTTGGCAGGCCAGAAGAAAACGAGCGGCGCGGCCCAAGAACAACAAAACGCAAATCTTTTCTGTTAATTGCTTCAGTTTCAAGTTTCGTTGCGTTTACGCCGGAAAAAACAACAACAATAACAGCAAAGACATAACAGAAAGAGCCCCTGTGTGTGTGTGAGTGCTTTATGAGTTACATAAAATCGATCACAACTTGCAGAAAAAAAAAGAATCTAACAAGCAAACAAACTACAAACTATTGACGAATTCCAATTGGGAATGCAAAGAATTTCGCGTATGTGCAAGTTAAAAGCTTTCTTAGAGGTCATTTTCAATTAGCAGGGGAAATCTTATAGGATTCCGCACTGTTATTTCTGTTTGTGCAAAAACTTAAATTGTTCAGCATAGATTTAAATGTGTTAAAATTTGCAAATAGCAATATTATGGGTAATGGCAAATAAGCAGAACAATTTCTGGTTAGAAGCAGTTAAGGGCAATTCAATCTGGATTATCTTATTGCTAGATTATATCAAATTATAAATAATACTGAAAGCCTTAGTGATTGCTTGAATCAACTCGTATTACTCGCCTTCACTTGAGTACTTATTGCTCAAGTTCGTAAAAACAGTTCTTTTATTTATATAAAGCTTAGATTTCCAGCATTATATCCATATGTTTTTCTTGGAATAAACAAGCGATCTACTTTCATTCCAGCACTCAGCAAGAATTTCAGTAATGTCATTTGAAACCCCGCAAATAACTGCAATGGCATGTTCTTCACTTTCATTAGAAGTGAAGAATTTTTGCAGATTTGTTTTTGTTTTGCTACTCAATCCAAGCCATTTTTTTTGTACTGTTCGCAGTAAAGATAAGAAAAGAGGTTTTGGGTATTTTCAATAGTAGGATAACATAAATCGTGATCTATATTAAAAAATAAGCCTTAAAGGTTGTAAATATCCCTCTTTAGACATACTCCCTATTGTCGCTATCGCCCCAATACCATATACATTTTCACTCTAATTAGACTTTCTTAAAATGTGAGCTTTATTCCTCGCAAACATTCCAATTGGCAGTTAACTCCTCAATTCCACAGAACCTGCTACTCTAATTAGAAATTGATTTTCCTAATAAGTCTATTTTGTTTACATTTCATTTGCATTTTAGATACTTTCGTTGATCAGCTGAGAAGCTTTCAATTGCATTGCTCTACATTGCACTCTCCCACTCCGTATCTCTCGCTCAAGTCAAACTCTCTCTTCGTGTCACTTGGCAATATTTGTGCTGTACTTTAGCAGACGCGCAGTCTGTTAATTAGTTACCCTTTTTCATGCTGTGTGCGTGCTCGTGCATCAGTAGGTGTGTGTGTGTGTGTGTGTCTGTTGTCAACCCCAACGATCTTAGTTATCATCTAATTGCAAATTTTACGCATTTGTAAGCGCTCGCTGGCTCGCTCGCTCTTTCACCCTCTCGTTGCTTACAACTCTCCCACAGTGGAGACTTCTCGGCTGTGTTGCCGTTGCCGTTGCTGTTGCTGTTGCCGCTGCTGTTGTTGTTCTCTGTCTGTCAAGCAGGCCATTAATGCCAAATGCGTGTCTGTCAAGTTATAAACTCAGACGCTGGGCGTCTCGCCTGTTTGTGGAGCGTGTAAAGTGGAGGTGCAAAAATAAAAACAACAAAAAAGCAAAAATAAAAAAACCC